AAGATCTCTCTCAAATCGTCATATATCGATTCTAATAAGATTCATATTGACAAGAGACGCGAATCTCAGCTTCAAAATAATAAATTTTTTAAAATCCTAGACAGAATAATGTTGAGGAATTTCCACGAAGTTTCTTGGAATCTGATGCATATCTGTTATCAGAGCTCTCGATGTAGTTATTTAGGGAAGCCTCTTTGCTCTTCAATAGATCTCAAAATTAATTTTTTGTTGTAGCAAAGATAACATAAAAAAAAATCTATCGAATAAAACAGATCTATCGGGTCATATCGCTGTACAATTGTAAAAACATCATTTATCAAAAATAGAGTTCGTTCAACATTCAGGATTCTCAACATCTCTGCATCCTACAAGGCGATGCAGCTGCTACATTTTAATGTTGCAAATTAAGATGCGATGAATTTTCTAGATTTACATATTCACAGAAGCCAGAGAGTTCAACTATTCTACGAAATCTAGAAATTGAAGAAAGAGATTTCAACATATCCATGTAATCTATGAACGCATCGAAACAAAAGTCAAAGTAGTACAGTAATGACATCATCGTAAGAAACCGAAGTCTCTTAGAGAACTCTAATCATCAATAAAACTTGAAGTAATAGGACAACCGAAGGAACCTTCAATGAGTACAACAATTTGGAATTGAGTACTTTTCATCTTCATAGTTTAAATTTATATAGATTTGAGTTGTCAGTGACATGTATATTCAAGTTATCATTAAAGTCTGGGCGAATATGTAATATGTGAATGCAGCTTCGCTGTACCGAACCGCTAAAAAATTAATGTGATTCATCGGTATAGGTACGTTGATTTATACTGATAGGCCATTCCGCTTTAGCTTCTTCCATTCCACAATCAAAGAAGTAAGTATAAGTAACAGCATCGGTTCTATTTATATGGAAATAAGAAAGACTGCCCATCACCAATCTACAGGGATCAAACAGTTTTTCGAGAACAGATTTCAAAATCTGTTTCTTATTGAAGTTTATGTGAAAGGAATGCTTCTGCTTGTTACACTTAAGCAGCTCTTAAATGTACATTCATCGTTATGAGAAAACAATTGCACCTAGGTTAGTGTTGTTCAGAGGATAAATGCCAAAAAAATCTTATCGATTCTCGAACGACAATAAAAAGATGTCAATATTATGTTTTGTTCTTGATTTTTATTCGATATTCAATTAGAATATGAGTTTATAGCGATTTCATTCTTTTTGAAAACACAGTTTCAACAGTCATTCTGTCAGTAATACGAAAGTTTCAAACACTGATCTGTATTCCCTATTGGAATTGATGTTAGAATACAACCTTTCCTTAAAATACATAATCTTTGCATTCTGTTTATTATTTCTAAAATGTCCACTCGCTTTCGTATTATAAAATTTATACGAAGAATTTTTCCTGTGTGCTGAATACTTTTGTGAAATGACAATGGCTATGTTCTAATACATCTTACCATGATCAATCCTGATTGTTCTCAAAGCAATAATCAACGATATCTTACCTTTTTTTGGTTTATTTGTACCAACATCAGTCATTTTCGAAGCATCTGAAATATAAAGCAATCATTTTTTTTAAGGAGATAGATGTGAATGTAAGGGAAAGTCATGAGGATATGGGTGGTTAAGAACGTGCATGTTAGTGTGAAGGTGTCACATCTTCTCTTGACCTTTGCTCTGATTCACTCATACTCACTAACCTATATCATTGAAGTATCCTCGGTATATCTTTTGGATTGGTCTTAGTAGGTACAGGTTTAAATTTAAGTCGCTTTTCGAAAAAAAATAAGATCTTTTGTTGTTACAATCGACCCATCATGATCTATAAAAACACTTCGTGAGTTTCTCTTAAAATTTTCTCAATTACTTAGAAAATTGAAGTTTTCTTGTTTACATTAGTGGAAGCAAACAATGCTATCAAATATTCAGTTGTATCAAACAGTTTTCATGATTAACGTTCAACATCAGATCGCAATCAGTCACATACTCGGGATCCATGCAAAGAGATAACATCAAATGAGATATATTTTAACAAAAAAGGACATTTGGCCCTTTCAACAATGGATTTACTAATCATTGTCAAAAATTCACAGGTGATTCCTTTTTTTGTCAAAAAAAAAATATTCAGCTATAGTATGTATATGATCTAATGTAGTTTTTGTGTTGTTTTCAACTAGATTATTCTTGTTATTCTAAAACAAAACCATAGTAAAGAACAAGTCATGGAATATGAACGCATTGTAATAGTGTTGTATTATTTTTTTATTGAAATTGAAAGAAACAAGTTTTTCAATAATCGAAGGAAACTGCAAAAAATATACGGATAAATTTGAAACTAGAAATATAATAATTCCATTAGAGACGATACACAGTTCCCACTATTGTCATGAAAGACTACATAAATTGACGAAGATGCCTATTGATATATGCTCTGAGATGTACCTAACTTTGTACGACACTCTGATCAGTGGTGAATTTACCTATTCAACTGTAATATAGTTTTTGTTTTCGTGATAAGTCAGATACTTTCCTTCTATTGAGTGGATGTGCATATCTGTTTGATAATTTAGCAATTATTCTCTAAGATTTGTATTCTAGTTTAATGTATAGACTGATCAGAAAAGGTAATTTAAGTCTTGAATTCATTTTCTTGTTTTGAACTATTTGAACTTTCAGGTGATGAATTAACCAAATATCATATAGATTACAAAGAAAAGAAAGGGGACATTTTGTTCACGAATTATTTGCTCAAGCAATTTGTATCGAACATATTCTTTATTTTTATAAATGCTAAATACAGCCAAATAATCGTTTTATACGCAAATTTCGATGCTCAATGAGAATCAAATGCTTACTTTTGCTAATAGTTAACCTCTTCGTTTCACTTGAAAATTGATATATCAACAACTTGTCACTAACTTTACATCTTTTCAACTGAGGTTGCAGTTGAACTCATTGTTTCATGTATTCTCCTCATAGGGTACGTTACACTATTGAAGAATTGCAGTCTTATGCATTTCAAGGAGTTAATCATGTCAATAACATATTTGTTTTCATACTCAATTAAATGTGAACTATATAGTTAATTGATAATGCATGTCCCTCTCGCATTTTTGTATTTTATTCTTTATATTTTGCTAAAGCAGAAGAAAACTAGTAGTGAATTACTTTGCATTTGAATACATTCTTCAATCATTTCGACTAGATAAGAGCTATTGGGTCGATCATTTGGCTGTTGCGCCCAACATCGTTCGATAATTGTTTGAAATCCAGATGGTGTGCTTTCCGGTATCTGCAGACGATCACCAGCAAGCACAGATGTACGTATAACGTCATCTTTATGTTCATAATAAGGTACTCTTCTGCTTGCCAATTCCCAAAATACAATACCCAAACTATAAATGTCGCTTTTATCGACATAATCTTCTAGAAGCAGAATTTCAGGAGCAGTCCATGGTAATGTATGAGCTAATGTCGAATTGAATGTTGTGTAACGTGTCGTTTCATTTCGTGTTCGAGCCAAACCAAAGTCACACACTTTGACAATATACCCTTCATAGGCTCTTTGTATCAAAAAATTCAATGATTTTATGTCACGATGTAAGATAGGTTCTGGTAATTGATGTAAATAATTGATTCCACTAGCTATTTGAAAAGCCATTGATAATCTTTCAGGCCATGTTAATACCAAATTGTCTTTGTGCAATATCTTGAACAATGACCCTAACGACATGTATTCCATAACTAATGCATATTTTCCAGTTTCCGTGCATGCACCATAAAAACTAACAATGTTTGGGCAACGAATACCATCCAATAATGAAAGCTCTTTGAAAAATTCTTTCTCGACTCTATCAGTCAAATGAGTCAAATGTAATTTTTTGACGGCTACTATATAACGTCTACTTATCCACGTAGCTCTGTATACTGTGCCAAAGGCTCCGGTCCCAATCTCTTCATGAAGTTTGAGGTCATTGTTGGCTATTTGAATACAGTCATGTGATTTATCTAAATGTCAGAGATATATAGTAGAAACTGCTGAGGTAGTTAGCTGAGTTCATAGTGAACGAAAATACTTTCTTCATGATATAATGTTATATGAAAAAACAGCGATTTCGTTAAAGTTTACAATCATATTTAAGTGACCCTTCAAATTTTCTGTAACTATGCATAATTCTCTAAATTAAGTATGCGGATATGATATTTGTTCAACACACTAACACCACAGGATGCTCGAATTGCAATCGAAAGACTCACAGACGTTAATTTTTATTGTATAGTAGTGAGGACGCACATTAGTATCCACTCAACCGATTACTACAAACGCCTTCAAGGAAGAGAATCAACTTTACAGGGAATTTTCTCTTCCTTCCATCTAAAAATAAATTTTTTATGACCTTAGGTTTTCTATCGTTAGAGTATATGCGAAGGGTCCTCTATTTAATGCCTAGCACGAAAGAGTTTATGGCTATTCAAGAATGTGGATGTCAGTACGATTTCCTTGAAAAAGGATCAAAGCTATTAGAATTCAAATATTGAATCTGTTACATAGTTTATTTTTAGGTTAAATCAAACAAAGCTGAGATTTCTTCCAAAACTATATCACTGAAGAACGTAAATAGAAGATTAAAACTAATACTCTTCGAAAAATATTTATTTTCGTACGGATCTATTGCTGAATACTGATTGATTATTGCTTATGAAGCGTACAAATATATCTGATTATCTTACCATTCTTGGGGCTGTTAGATGCTGCAGCTTGCTCTTTGATCTTAAGTGATTCTTGAAGCCACCGCACACTCTTGTCGTAGTTACCTTGCTGCGAAGCAATTTGACCGAGATCAGCATACACACTGCGAAGTGAAGGATCATTCGGTGGAATTTCTTGTAGCAAACGACTATAGTATTGTTCAGCAAGATCAAGTTTGCCCATCGTCCATAATAACTTGCCCAATGCCCACAGACTTGTCTCTCCAGTGCCGTTTTGCTTCTTCATGTTTGTAAGAACTTCCTTCAAATGGTGTTCATCATCGTCACACAAGGACATTCCTATTTTCCACGCTTTATCGCTATCTTGATCAACAGAGTTGAGTTGGAAAATGGAACCGAGCATGAAGAGTACTTCAGATTCATCAGCAAAATGACTAAGGGTACTGATGTCAGCAAATGGTTTCGTTGAGACTACCTCGGGATCAGCATCAATCTCGAATAGAACTCGCTCTAAATCAGTCTGCTGGTTCCTATCAGCCATATAGAGATCAGCCACTTCAAGTTGCTTAGTAGCCGAAAGAAACGAATTTACAGAAACGAATTGGCCAATATTGTTTTTGAGATAATCTACTTCATCCATCGACATTAACTGGCTTCGATATACGCGAAGAGAGCACTGTGACTGATAACGCTTCAACTGCCGACATATGTCGACAATAAAGGAACGATACAAGAAAATCATATGAATATTTTGTTTGCGCAGAGCCGCATTCAGAGTCTTGTAAAAGAATGATTCCCGAGTGTACCACGAGACCGCCTTGTCGGATGTGTAACTATTTTCAAATTCACTCAAATTATTGAGTTCGACACGATTACCTTTGTATTCAGTCTTACAACAAGAAATAAGTTCTTTTCTATCCATTTCATTAGGCTTTAATCGAAGAAGGCAGTCGATGAGTGATTGAGAAAAAACGAATTGACCATTGATTCCTGTTGTAGATTTTTCTACATTACCGCTTGTAGTGAATATGTTCATTGACAGTGGTTCTTGCATCTTCATCTGATTCTTGTGATCTACTTTAATTTGTGAGACCAGTTCATCAGGTTGAGCAATAACGCCTTTCAGCTAAAACGACGAAACAACATGACTGAAACTTGCCAGAACAACTTTACCTTTGCGAACTCGCATACACAATTTTCATCGCTTTCTTTGTCTTTGGCATAGATATAGACTGCTGAGACTTGTCGAAGTTGATGAATAGACGGCAATATTTCTCGACTCAACTGACCATTAACAATGAGGATGAGTCTATCGTGTGTTGATGTTTGTTTTATGTAAGTTTTGCATTCCTCTACATCATGAAATTTTTTTATATGATTAATAATAGCACGCAGTTTTTCTTCCATATCTTGGTTCATTTGAATATCGATATTGTCGTCAAGCCAAATAAGGCTGAATATTTCAAGATGGTTGTCATGGACTTTATTGAACGATATATCATGCAGTGGAGCAGCTGTTGACATCATCCTAGAAAAAATAAAATCACAGCTTTTCTAAAAATTAATCGTATGATATATTTGTCGAGCACAGTTTCTTCTGGATATTGGAAAAAGAACGAAAATATTTCAGTCTCACTTTAGCCATTTATTAGTATTTTTAAATGGTTTTGTATTTCTATGTGATTTAAAGGGCTAGACAAAATATATGTTCTGGTTTACTTAGAATAATTATTCGATTATGATTCTTCCGTCGATTCTGAAAAGACTGCCATATAAATTCAAACATTATTTGTTATCTTTTCATTTTAAAGATCTAAACGAAGGACTTGTTGAAATATACCCCATCATACACAAACGCATATGATCTCTATTTCCCATACATCTACACCCACATTCTCATATTTTATGATAGCAGATGAAGGTACCTTCTCGCTGCTTCTTGCACTCAAAAAGGGTAAGTTGTCATTGGACTATTTCAACTCGCAATTCTCAAATACAAGAAGATGGATACCTTGGCATAGGCGGCGGAGCCACGAGGCCTGGGTAGGCACGAGCCTACCCTAGGTTGGAGAGGTAAAGGCTTGGGTAGGCTCAGGTAAAGGCTTGGGTAGGCTTAGATAAAGGCTTGGGTAGGCTCGAACCAGTACAGATAAAGGCTTGACTAGGCTCAATTTAATATAAAAATTTTCTAATATTATTAATTTTCGTGTTCTCCTGACAGATGACGCGTTACTGCAAGGTCAGTCCACATTTTATCTATTACAAACTCGTGTTCAGTGGCATACTAATTGGTTTTTGTTGACGTCTATATCTACGTCGAATTCTATATTTTCAATATAATATAAGATAATTTAACTGCTGTTCTAAACTTCTATTCAACATAACCACAGATGGCGGAGCCATTAGGCCTGAATAGACTCAAGCCTACCCTACATTGATGGAGAGTAGGTTTCGGTAGTCTTAAAATAGGACAGACCAAGGCTAGGATAGACTCAGTTAAATATAAACGTTTACTCTTATTGTTTAGTCTTCATATTCGTTTGACAGATAACGCATTTTTACAAGGAGCCCATATTTTTTCTACTGCTAACTCGCATCCAGTGAGGTAGTGATTAGTCTTCGTTGGCATCTATATCGTCATCGGATTCTTGGTTCTTAATATAAGACGGATGAATTGCTTTTTGTAGATTTCAATTTAAAATAACATTTGAATTTTAGGCACTTGAATAACATTACTCCTTTCGTATGCCGATACCAGCTAAATAAAATCAGATTATGTCTTTCTTTCATAATAAAACAACAAACGGCTAAGAACAGTTTTGATGAAAATTCATCTTCTGTTGAACTTGTATCGATCAGTTCAAACGATAGTTAAGGTGAAACAGGATTATATGCAAAAATGTCATTGTTAAAACTATAAAACCTTGACATCAACTTGATCAAGCATCTATTCTGATTTCCTTTCAAAGAATCAAGATAGAAAAAATATTTTGGTGTTGAATAGCATTATTTCTTCTTAGACTTCTCTTTTACTGCTTTTTAAAGTCTTTTTAAGTTACTTCGTTAGTACCTGTTGTGTCTGGAAACAATAACGCATTAGATAGTTATCACACTTATAAAGAATTAAAATCTATCAACAAAAACCTATAACGCTCAACGTTATAAACAAATGAAGAAAACTATTTTTCGAATCGCTCCCATCCATGTAAATATATTCGAGTTGAAATAAGATTAAAATCGATTATAATCATACGACCTGAATCAATTTTAAATCATTTTTTACCTGATATTAATTGAAAATAACCGAAAAAAAAACCAAATTTCATTGATTATTACGATTAGTTCCATTTAAAATCGATAAAAGTTTCATAAAAAAAAAGATTTTTCTTTTTGATAAATGAAAAAGTCTTCACGCGAATTTTACCGGTTTGCATCAATCTTATTCATTTTTTTATAACGTTCTAGCGAGAACGAATCGTAATAATCAATGAAATTTTGATTTTTTCGATTATTTTCAATAAAAATCGGTTAAAAAATGATTAAAAATTGATCAAAATCGTAGGATGACAATCCATTTTTTATCGGCTATTACCCGATTTTAATCTGATTTCAACTCTACTTTTTTACGTGGACAGACCTGGTTTGTCTGAAAAGTTGAGCCTACCCTAGAGTGAAATCGTTCCGCCGCCTATGTACCTTGGGTAGAGCATATACTCATCTACAAAATGAGTCTTCTGTTATTCGACATCTTCTATCAAGCACGATGAGACCGTGGGCACATCTTACTTATGACTACAATATGAACAAGTAACACTAAATTCCATTCCGTCAGACAACACAAAGAAAATGAAACACGATTTTATTAGAACTTTCTTCACTTCTGCAAACGATTCACAATAAACCTATTACTACTTCGACGAAACAATGTTTTCCGAAGTTTCTTCTAAGTTA